TGCTAACAACCATGAAAAGAGGGTTAATAGGATCCTTTCCTCAAGCACTGCACAATCTAATGAGGGAAACAGACAAGTAACTGGGCCATTTTAATAGAGTGTGAGCTTTAACATATAAAAGATTCCTACAAATCAATAATAAAAGACCAAAAACTCAATAGAGAAAAAGTGAGCAAAAGTAGTACATGGAAATTCAGAAGAATGAAAAAAGGGATGGGGGTGTGGCTCACAGGTAGAGCATGACAAGTCAATGCTCAGAACTTCTTCACTGCTTGAACTCTGCTGTGATTATTCATCACTACCACATGCATTAGAAAATCAGGAGCCAGACCCTTTGGAGTTGAGGGTGCACAGCTACAGAAGCACCTACTGCAGTCACTGTCCAGGGGGAAAGGACAACGCCGGCAGAAGACCCAGAAGGGGCAGGGAATAAGCCAGCATCAGCTTCCAGCTTCATCATTACCCCTTCCAGACATTTCACCTACTTCTCTGCTATAGATTAAATGTTACCTCCTAGGAGGAGCCCTGTCTGACTCCAGCCTGGTTGGCCTTCCCCTCTGCCTCTAGGGCCCTGAACACAGGCCAGTAGTTAGGTTGTTGCCCTTGCTAAACTCACAGGACAGAAACTGTGTGCATGTCCTGTTCTCCACAGACTCTCAGCCTCTGGCAGCTCACCTAGCTCTCAGGAGTGTTACCAGTCCTAGGTCAGGTGGGAAGTCCCAATAGACCAAGTGTGGCCACTCACCCCAAAAGTCAATCAGCAAAAGTAACAGTGACACAGGAAGGGAATTGGGAAGTACCAGGAGGACTGATTCTCAGTCCAGTTTTGGGGAGCAAACAAGGGCTTTTGGGTTAAATAAGGGAAAAGCCAGAAGATCAGAAGGGCGGGGGAGAAGCATGTGTAGTCACCCAGTCTTGGTCAGACTATACATTGATTGATCATGATCTGCCATAAGAAAGTGGCTGCTGCTTGGGGTAGTTTCAACTCTTGTTCCTAGAATCCAAGTTGACTGTGGGAGAGAACGATGCAGATCTCCCAAGTTTATAGAAATGACTGGAACTTCCTAGGCATGGCTCTGGGGGTCTGGAAAAGGATGTTGCAAAAGCTGGCACCAGGCAATCTGTTGATTCTAATGTTCTTGCAAATCTTGAAAAATTCTTACTTAATTATTCTTATCTGGGTGCCTTCAAGTCTCAAAGGGGAAGGAATAACAGAGTTAGA